GCAGCCAGTCTCCAGACCCAATGAATGCGGTGCCTTTCTGTTCACCAGCTGTTTCAATCCCAAAGTTTGACCCTGCAAACACCTTGCTCCCGGCCACCCTGCCTTGCCGTGTGGTGTGTGCGTTTCCTGGGTGCCGTGACTCCGAGCCGTGTGTGCGTGAGTGGGCGCAGGTGTGGCCGCCTTTGCTGGAGCCAGCCCAGGTGCTCCGAGCTGGGCGCCATGTTTACCAATTAATAAAAGTCCTGTTTTATTTGCTGCTATGTGTGTGTGCGCGTATGCGTGTATCTAGGCATCGGTCACATGTCCAGCGTGAGATTTCCCCGATCCGCAGGGGCTCCTGCCACGCAGAAAGCACAGTGCACGTGGAATGGGGGTCCGGTCCTGTCCTGTCTTTGCTTCTGTGAATGGGTGGGAAGAAGTAACCGACCTGCCCTCTTCGGGGGGTTGGCATATTTTTATACGTATATTTTTGGTACCAAAAAGAGTGCTCCTTGTTTTGGTTACACTCAGAATTCTGACCTGACTTTCAGAGGGCCCTGGGCCTCGCTAGAGGTTTCATTGGGGGTAAACTTTGGGGAAAGACCAGTGCTGTGGGCCAGTGCCAATCATTGGCTTGATTTGTGTGTTTTTTAATTAAAAGAAAAGGCCAAGTTATTTGTGTATACCACTTTTCATTGCTTTATACTATGGCTGTTTGCTTTCTTAAAAGAGAACAAAAGTGGGTATGTTACTTCCCTGGGAAACCTAAGGTCTTTGTTGAAACAGGACAGTAGCCCAGCCCCCAAAATCAAACAGGACCAACCAGTGAAAGGAATACCTCCCCCAGGAAGCCCACCAGGGTTTGGAGGACGGGGTGAGAGCCAGGGAAAGGTAGTGCCTAGATGGCCAAATTTTTGCTCACATGCATCAAAAAATTCTGTGCATTTTGTAGTATTTTTGGGAAACTAACACTAGCAATAGGTTGCAGGGGTTTTTTTAGACGTTAATTTATTTTGCAGGGAAAAGACATTAGCAAATGTGTCAGACCTTTGCCTTTTCACTTAGTATATCAATAAAATAAATTTTTTTACTTATCAGCCTGTTGTGTGTCGTGAGTGGTGCCTGGAAACACCAATGTCTTCACTTTCCCCTTCTTGAGACAAAATCCTCCAACGTGACAGAATAGAAGGAGGGGGCTCTGGGGGAGGCGTGGCCACCTTTCTGGTTTTTTTCTAAGCAAAGGTGTGGGGTCTATTATAGAAGTCCCTGTACCAGCGTTTCACAAAGAGCAGCAGTCTGGCATCCCAGGGGACATGGGGCACATTGGGGAGCCAGGGGTGAGTGTTGCCACCGGCATCCAGCGCTAGAGACCCAGGCGCTGTGACACTTCATGAACCCACTTGGAGACAATCTCCCAGAAACTGGTATTTTAGGTTGAAACAGCCCCCGCCTCCCCTCCCCCCAGCATCCAGAGGTGCTGCCATTGGGAAGCCGCTCGAGCCCTCGAACCCACCACATGTGGTAGCACTTTGAAAGGACAGCAGTAAAATGCCGGGGGAGTTGCTGCAAGGCCGCCAAGCTCCGCGTGAGCGGCTGCTGCGAGGCCTGACCCAGGCCCACGACAGATGACTGGCTTCCTAAAGAGCCTTCCCTGGGCCCTTCAGGGCTGCAGCAGCCTCGGCATGAATTTATTCATACATTTCGGCCTCCGGGAGGAGCTGGGCCTGCCTGTCGCCGGCCCTGGTTTGGGGCAAAGGCCCGGATGCCTTCGTGTGGGAGGTTCCCACTGCAGCTAGAGGTGCAGGCCCAGCCTGCGGATTTGAAATCAGATTCTGCGCAGGAGGCTGCCGGCTTGTTGTCTTTTGTTTCGCCTTCAGAGGCTGGAGCAGGTTTGTGTTGGGGAAAGTGGGCAGGGACCACGCTGGCGTCCTGTCCTGGGGTGTTGGGAGCTGCAGAGAGGGGCTGGGGGGGGGGGGGGGGGAGGGGGA